ATTTTCACAGGACTAGTTTCGATGGTTTTACCGGACCATCATCCTCAGCTGACGGTTCAGTAAAACATCGAAACTAGTCCTGAGAAAATTTGCAAATGTAGTGATGATTTTTGTTGTTTGACTTCTAAATTAATATTTGTTCGGCGTGTTATTTTACCTTAATGAAAACAGCTGTTTTAATGTTATAATATAAATATGCTTCACATTTTAATGCCACAAACTAAAAATGAGGAGGGAGAAATGCAAGTTTAAAAAATCTCGCATTTCGGTGCTTATTACAGGGTTAACGTTAATGGCATTTACGCAGCAAGAAATGCATTCGCAATTTTTTGTTAAATTATGTCAACAATGTTTAGCTCTGATATAGTATAAGGGGAACACTTATTGTATAAAGAAATAAGATACCAATGTCATGTGTAATGATTTTGCACTTGGAGATGCAGTATTCGAAAACCCCGAGTTCGACTTCCAGAAAACACACAACTGTTTTTCAAAGATGCCTTATTCCCATTCCCTTTTGCTCCTCAGAATGCAACTTCGTAAAACTAAAAAACGAAAATATGCATTCAGTGTTATGATTAAGGAAACGATAGTAATCGAAATTTAGAGGCTTATGTAAAAATGAGTTTTATACATAAAACATGCATCGATAAATGCATGAACTTGTAGACAGTTTGTATTTCTTTTCGGTCGCCAAGCTAAGCCAGTTCATGTTTTAGCTATTTAGCTTGGACTGCGTTTATTTCCCTTCTTTAGCTCTATTTGTCAATTTATAGCTAAACACTTAAAAACTTGATGAATCTAAGTCAACTCTTAAAACGTAGGTGCATCTAAGTCAACTCCTAAAAGTCAAGATTAGCTACAGTGGGTAAAAAAAGTATTGGCAATTGCTTATAATTGATCATATTACCTAACAAAGGAAATTCCTGACGGTTTTAGCTGGACATAACGAACATAGGAGGTAATAAACACACAAATCTAATAAAACTTTCAATTTAATATGCGTTTTACACAAAATATACAATAAAAACGTTAATCTGCATGTCAAAAAAGTATTGGCAAAGTTCTAACTGCTATGCAAATTTTGTTATGTAGAGGTCACGTGTTTAGACTGATAAGAAACCCTATTAGTATATAGTCTGCAGTGCTACTTCAAAACTTTTAAAACGTTATTTTGCTAATACTGTGATAAAATGGCTTCGAAGTCGAAGGAGTGTGATGTTAATGTTGAAAACATGGTTATTCAGCTCAGAAATGAGGGTTTAACTTATCGTGCTTTAGGTGTGTGTGTGTGATTATGGCAAAGCCTCGAGGGCTATCTGCCTAAGAGGAGGGATGCCTTCGTCGTGCTTTAGGAATACAGTTGAACATAAGTTTATTTACTATTAGAAGTGTTGTAAAAAAGTTCAAAGAGACGGGATCGACGGAAAATAAGATTAGAAGTGGACGGTATAGAATATTTTCTGCAATATAAAACGTTACGTTATCAAAGATGGTTAAGAAAAACCCTAAAATAATCGCACCCCAGTTAGCTTAAAGATGTTGCTAATACTTCGCATAAAACATTAGTGTACAGACTCGTATAGAATGTTCTGACATACGGAGAAGTTATTATGGAAAAACAGCTAGAAATAAACCTTTCATTTCAGAAATAAACGGGCGAAAGGGATTAGATTTTGCAAAATCTCATTTTAATTCATCACAAGAATTTTGGAACACCTATTATTTTGTCCTCGACGAATTGAAATTTAACATTTTCGAGAGTGATGGACGACAAATATGTGTGGAGAGCTTAACACCGAGCTGGAAAATAACATTTAACACCGAATGTAAAATATGTTAAGAGGAGCATTTGTAGTTTGGGGCAGTATGGCAGCAAACGGAATTTGGTAACCTGTGCTTCATTGGTGGTATTATGACAGCACACCGCATACATTGATATATTGCGCCATAACATGAAATTCAGTCTCCTCAAAAACTTCGGTTTAGGAACATCATTTGAGTTTGCCACAGAACAATGACTGTAAGGACGCAATGAACCTCATCTCGCAATAATTACTCTATAATGCTCCTTGTCAGTTAAAGACACCGCCTCAATAAAATTCAATTAAAAATTTATGGCTTAAATTGAACCTAGAAGTCAAGAAACAAAATTTCGTGTAAAAATGAATTTAAGTGTATACTCCTGCAAGAATGGCACAAAATTCCTAACAGGACTGGTTTTTTCCAACAGGACTTTTTCAACAACCGGGACTTTGGTTTTCCCTATGAGAAATAGATTACAAGCTCTTATAGATAGATGCTTGTATGAATACAAAATATTTAATTTTGTTCCCACATTTTTCTGTATGATCTTGCCAATAATTTTTTGACATGCAAATTTACGTTTTTGTTGTATATTTTGTGTAAAAGCCATATTAAAACGAAAGTTTCATTAGGATTTGTGTCTTTATTGCCTCCAGTGTTCATTACGTCCAGCTAAAATTGTCAAGCATTTCCTTTGTTAGCTAATATGATCAGTTATAGGCAATTGCCAATACTTTTTTTACCCACTGTATATCCCACACGAGAATGAAGAACTTACAAGCTAACTAAATAAAAGCTAAACATTGTTTTAAGTCAAGACTTTCGAGGTATGATTTAAATAATAAAATGCTCGGTAAACTCGAACAGTCGCTATCGTTGGACAAACAAAACAGCTGATCTAAAGCCATCAACAATTTATAATTTTAATTGCTGTATGTAATTTGAAGATTCTAAAATTCCAATTTCAACTATCATTTTTCCAAAAGAATTAGCGAGAGACGCAATAGGAAATTCCAAAGAATTGAACACACCGTAAGCAGGAGACTAATCTCACTACTCTTAAGCATAGGTTTGATTAAACTACACTTGATTTAATGTTATTTTAGTAACACGACGGGATTTAACGAATTCTCGTGAAGGAAAATAAAAAGAGTATGAGAGGTAAAATTCATATTTAACTATTAGAAAACTAATGTAGTTGTAAAACCATAAAGGAAAAATAAGTTTAACCAAAGAAAGTACTAAGTAAGCAGCTTTAAGTTTATAAATTTTATCACATGTTCTTAGAATATTATTTTATCACCTCTTCATATATTCACGCGTCCTTTGAATTGACATTTGTGTCAAGCTAATTTAGTCAGGATATCAGTGAAAAATTTTTTTATTGAGCCCAGGATTTTTTAAAGTATACTTTGTAATATACCAGGAAACAGGGACATACTCGTTTCTTTGGCTAGATTGGCTTTAATAAATTGGATTTCGGTTCTCTCTCTTATGAGGCTGTTTATTCATTAGCAGCAGATTATGTTTGAAATTTCTGTTTGAGAATGGAGTATTTAAAATAGCTTTGTGTTTACTAAAAATCGTTATAGGGTTTAGGTTAGGTATAAGTTTGATTAGTGAATTATTGCTAAACCTACAATTGCTCAAAGCTATTGATGATTAAGTTCCCTTTCCGAGTCAGAGAAAAAAGCAATTAGAGTAGAAAACGTAGGAAACTTTTCGTTGTAATTGTTTTAAGAGGTCAGGTAGTTCGCATTATTTTTTGATCGAAAATTGCTTGATAATTAAATTCTTTTCTGAACACCAAGAAAATACCACTAATTAGAGCGGGAAAACCAACAAACTTTTAAGCAACAATTGTGTAAAGATGTGCGGAAGTCTTAAATGTTAAAGAAAGTGAGATTATACTTCTAACTTAGTTATCGGAAATAGAAATGGTCTGAAAATTTCACTTTCTGCGAAGATGCGACTCCAATAATATGTTAGCATATATGTAAAATAACAGTGAAATAATCTAGAGTTGAAACTGTATAGATTTTGTTTCTCGTATTTTCAACTAATAAATGTTTGAATGGTGTTAGTCATTAATGTTTATATATGCCGTCCAACCGGTATAGTGGTTAGCGTCGCTGTTTGCTGTGCCGAAGGGATCGAATCTCGGAGAAAGTATGGATGTTTGTAAATGTGTAGTGTTGGTGCGGCATGGCGGCATTTTAAATACGAGGCGAGCCGAAAGTCTTCTCTTGTGGCTTAGTGGAAGGTGAGAGGGCTGGGAGTCTCTCGGACCCTCCACCCGGGATCTCTCTATCAAAACTGGGGGCGGAACTGAACTAAACTGCACTGTCACCTGTAAGGTGCTCAGAGTTTTTGCCAATGACAGGCTTATCTCGCGCTCCTTGCCACAAGGAGTTTCGTGGGCTTGGGCTGATGTTATTGTCAGAGAAGTGAGCATAAGTAACAACAACAACAACATGTTTATATATAATTTTTATCTGCAACTTACGAAACGTGAAATTACTTGTTTCTTACGGGAATCAAAATTTGTTGAAGAAGCATGAATTTGTATTTTAAGAATTTTATTAAATACTAAAATAATTGAGGCATTATAAACGATTATACATTATTATAAATTAGTGAATTATATAAGCCTATTTAAAATGCTTATTTGAATCATTATCGAAATAACAGGATTATACCTACATGCTTATATTAACACGTTTTATTTAATGTCAATTACATTTATTTATTTTCTTCTAAAATGTAGCAAAATGGATTTTGAGAGAGCGAAACTTACTCTTGAAATTTGAATATCTGTGTGAAATATTGTATTTACAAGTCTCTACATTCAGTTATATCATATTCGTCACGGAATGCTTTTTAAGAAATGTCAGATTTTGAATTATAAATTTGTTACTCCCTTAGGCTAGGAGCATTCGTTTTATTTCTAATACTATTCGAGTACTGATAATGCTTATTTGATAATGTTATTAAATTTTGATTTTACGAGCATTAAAAGTATTATTATATTTTGAATTAAGATGAGCTCAAAAGGTATTATCTAAAATTGAAAACGAAATTACTATACAGTGGAAAATTAATTAAATTCATAATATGTCCCCCTTAACTGAAATTTCTTTTTAATAGTTTGTTCTATTTTAGGCAGGTATACTAATTCTTTGTGTATTTTACAGGTAAAAATGCATCATGAAAATCGCAATTAGAAGCATCTTATTGTCCTTCGTTTTGAAAGATGAATGAAGAAATCGCCAGAGCGTTTAAAATTTAACAGAAAATGCACAATTCAAGTGATGCATTAGAGGTCAATTAGAAAACATCGTCAACAAACGTGAATCTTTAATTCCTCTGTTTTGATGATTCTGTAGGGTACAAAAGACTGCATAAACCTTTTGTCTTAATAAGAAAGCATTTCTTCAGACTTTCTACTTATTGACTTCCTATTTGCCCGCAGCAGCGGTAATTAAAGAAGATTCGAGAAGTTCTTAGTGTCTTTAAATTCTTTGTAACGAATAAAAAAACGATTGTGGATATTTCAAGCTGCACGTGATTGCGAAAATAATGAACTCAAGAAATACAATGTGAAATGAACCAGAACTCGAACAAATAAGAGCATAAAAAACCGCGTCATTTTCTTTGTTCTTATTGAAGGAGTTTTTTTTTCTGTCTTGGAGTAGTTTCAGATACTAATTGCTGCTTTAATATGAAGTAAAAACAGTGAAAAAGATTAAAAATGAGTCAGCATTATGCTTAAGTCCTTCTTAATAACATGAATCACGCGAATTTTGCCTGCTTGTGTAAAAGATCACATTCTGATTTTATTGAGTATATTTTTGTTTTTTTATTTGTTTTTAATAGCATATAATTGGAAAATTTACTAAAACCGCTTAACAGGTCATTTACAGAAATTTTGTTTCCGTAACAGTATTCGGGAAAAATTATCGTATCTATGTTTGAGAAATGAAATCGTATTTAAACTGGAATTCAATTCTTTAACATAAAAAAGGAAAAAGTGTAAATCAGGACAGAAAGAAAGAAAAAAATCGTATAATTTTTTTATTTAAGCTGTAGTTATTACTCTTATTACTTTAATATAAGTACTGCAGTTTGGTGACATGTTATTCAAGATGTCAAATTTTGCTTTTATACAAAGAATAGTGTGGAAGTAATTAATATAAGAGTAAGTTTTAGTAAACTTCAAACACACCAGGGCATTTTTCTCGGTATAAAGGATGAACGCTTTGCATAGAAACAGAGAAGATTATCTAGAAGCTGAGAAGTGATTTTTTTCAATGAGAATAAGATGTTCATGAAATACTTACGAAAAACTGGTAAAAATATATTTTACTAGAGGACTACAATTTTTGAATTGCTAAAGATATTTTAAAATATAATTCTTGCATTTTCAAAACTTAAAAAAAGGACTAATACGGCTTCAGTTCTGCTTTAACTCAATCATCAAAAATGTCTCTCTTGCGAAAGAATTACAAACAGTGTAACAACAGAGATGACGAAGATGAATTATTTGAAGTTCATAGTGATTTTCGCACACCAGGTCGGGAAAACGGAAAAGAATGTTGCCGCTTCTTTACTGACCATATTGGCATCATCGCTATTATTTTATTATTGTTGATCGCATTAGCTGTGACTACTGTTGTATGTGTCTTCCTGCCAGAAATTCTGTCAAAAGAGTCTAAAATTAATGAATCCACAGGCAAAGTGAAGCCCGAAGTGCAAACCAAATGTGGTACCTTCATTGGAACTGAAGAAGGAGGAGCTTTTGTTTTCAAGGTACTTTCTTAAATTAAATAGATTGATTTATTTAAATATTTATGTATGATGTTATATTCGCAATATATTTCAACACAGCATTGGGCTTTTAGGAGGATAAAATTTCACTGCATTGATAAAACATTGCACAATTGGTTATTTCTTCCTAAGATTCAGAGCATAATTCGCAGTAATTAGATCCACAGATGTAAATCTTTACTGATAATTATGCTGTATATTAATACTACACTTATAATCAAGTACTGATTTTTAGAGGCATAAATATGCAAAAATTTGTTTATTTTCTCAGGTTTCTTAATAGACATCTTTTTTTGCGTTATTTTGTCATCAAATATGGAGGTACTTGATTGAAGTTTATAAGTCGTTTTACTCTAGGTAATTATTTCCCTCTAACCAATGAATAAATAGTCGAGACAGTATAGTTAAGGAAAAGATCTAATGAATATCTTTTTTAACTACCATATTAATTTTAAAAGTTTCTGCTAAAAATAAAACACAGTGTTATTGCGACTTCTTTGTAATTCTAATATGCGAACTAAAATTTTTAAACTAAATTGGAAGCCTCTTCTGTTCTAGTAAACATATACACGTATAAAATTCAATTTATGATCTGTCGTTAATAGCCATATTCAACACTATCATATCCGACAATATGATAGTGTTGAATATGGGATGTCCATATGAATATTTAGGACAGAAATTTCGAATATAAATTTCTTCATGAAAACATCCCCAGGAAATCAAAAGAGAAGTTATAAGGCCTGAAATTCCATTTTTGTGAATATTAGCCTCTATCTGTAAAGCATTAATTTTCAGTTGATTTTTTGTAAAACCTGAACACTTACAAGCATCAAAACGATTACCGCTGTTAGGTAGTTTGTAAACGAAGAGATTCCAAGTTTGATTCCGAGTCAAAGCAAGTCTTTGTAATCTGAATTTCTCATAAATAAATTTAATTTCGCAAAGAACACAGCTTTGACAGATTGAATTTGAACGTCAGTTTTTTTCACTAAAACTAAAATATAAGTTCACTATTGAGTGTTTATAATGAGCAGTATGATTTCTTCACCAAAGCCACCAAAATTTGTAGAAACGTTTACATAAACGAAAGATATCGAATATGATAGTGTTGAATATTAGAGTGCCTGTGAAGTTACATGCATATGCTGTAATAAAACATTTTGTATTTATGGAAATAGTTTTATTTAAATTCCTATAAATAAATTAAATTTCTATAAAAAAGGGCCTATAATCAGATGTAATGGTATGTAATGTATCATCAGATGTAATAAACGTGCCCCATTTGTTCTATTTTATGTGCTGGTAGTGTTAAACGCCCAAAATAAACGAATATATTTGTATTACTAAAATCACATGGCTTGGAACTTCCATTTTGAAATCAGCAGACTTAACGCTTTAAAATATGCACACATGGGGAAGTAATAAATTCATACTGTTTTATAAAATTTATTTTAAACAGATTTAATGTGTGACTGAAGTTTTCTTCATTATTTTATTACAACAAACATTTCTTATTTAATAAAATCAGGTTATTCAAGATTTTACCGAAAAAATATTTTTATTTATTTTCTTTATTAAAATATTTTTAAATAGCTTGTAATGTTTCAGATAATTCATTATGGAATTTTAAAACGGCATAATGGAATTTTAAAATATATTAAAATTTCTTTATACATATAAAGGGGTACATACGAAGGCATACATACATATAAATACATACACTTTATACATATGAAGGAATTAAAAAAATTTTTAGACTCTGATTTGAGATATAGCTTGGCATCTCCCATATTCAAATGCATCCTAATTAATATGAATTGAAATTTGTTTCTTTCCTAATAAGTTTTAAGTACTGAAAGATATTTCTTTGGATTTCCATAAAAAGAGTTACCAATAGTTATCCGTTACCAATAATATTGAATTCTCTGTTAACTTTACTTCTAACATAAATATGGTGAACTCGAAAGTTTCAGAATTTAATGAATAAGTTTTAGCTGAGCAATGAATAAAACTGTATAAAATTAACATAAGTTTTGAGCGCTATCGTTCAAAAAGTTTTTTAAGTTTGCTTTGACTCTGAATAGCGGTCTGGTTAAAATTGCGTATAATCTCTGCTAGTGAATGTAGGTTTATGAACAGCATTTGACTTTTCAAGAATATAACTAGTTAGTTCTTAATTACGAGCTGTACCAATAACATAAAGACAATAGAGTCAATTAATAACTATTTTGCATATTACGTGCCTTATATAGTATTTTCTTGTAATACAGAAAGCTAGAAAGAATTAGATGTTGCTAAAAATTGTAAATTAGAGAAAACACATTTACAGTACTGTAAAGTATTTATCCTTTACTAACATAAGAAAACAGTCCATTATTGGAGGTGTTAAGCCAAAAGCGTAATATATATAAATTTGCAGGACTAATTTCGAAGATTTAAATCTAGAACCTTCTGCTTCACGTGCAGAAATGAAAATAACGAAAGAGAAGCCTGTACTCAGGCGATACCAATGAGAGGTAGGAGGTCAAGCTACTGGCGCCATCAGTTGATGAAAAAAGACAACTAATAATTTCTTTAAAAGCTAAAGATGGATTGTAATGGATATCGTTAACTAGAGATGAAAGTGTTTTTGAACGTGAAACGCCTTTAGAAAATCTAATTCAACAATGGAAAATGTTTTCTGAATAGCGTTAGCTGCAGAAAAAAGGAAAATGTGATTTCTTGACCAACAGCTTTGGGCGACAGAGGTTTTATGTATTTCTGTTTTTCTATCATATGATTCATGTTCCTTAGAGCGAACGTTTAAGGCTATGCTAGTTTTATCATTGCAAATTAAACCACATTGTAGGGAACTTGAATATACGCCAAGAGTTCATATTTGGAATGTGATTTTTAAGTTGGGTTACTGTCACAGAAAATGACCCAAAAGTTGAAATTTTGTAAAATATATGCAATTTTGTAGAAGAAAAGAACGATAACAAAATTCTTATAATCTTCTAAAACGAGAGAGTTCTTTTTAATATCTTAAAATGAGAATGTTTTAACCGTTTGGTTAATATTGTTATGTGAGAAGCCTCTGTCAATAGCAACTGCTTTTAAGTAGTTTAGTTCCTGATCTAGAGTCGGTCTGGGAGACTTACAGCCGATACTTGCAAGTTCAATCGGTCTGTGTCTATATTTATATTAAATATATTATATAATATTTATATAATATTTATATTAAATATAGACATGTTCAGTGGTTCGGTTACTATCGTTTTACATGACTCAAAGCACTGTAAACGTTATGTGAATTACAAACATAGGTATAAAAATGTATTTTCGTAACATATTTGTGTACATTTTATAGCAGTAAATAATGAAATGAAGAGTTATTTGCATGCATTTAAACATATTCATGACATGCTTTCAACTATTTCTTTACGTTTTATTTTTTATTTTAATTGTTTCCAGTTGCATGCTTAAGCTGTAATTTTTTCAAACATAGCTTCTAAAATAATCTATAAGCTGGGTAGGGGTGAAAAAATAGAGCTGATTGCCTTTCAAAGTCCCATATACTTTGACCAAACGGCAAAAGATTTTCAAAAACACTGCAGAATCATGAATTTTATTTCTTTTCTTTTCTTTGAAGCTGGAGACGGGAAAAATTTGGAATGCCCTCGCCGAGACTCGAACCCTGGACCTCTCGAATACGCGTCGAGTATGCTTCCAATTATACCACGAAGGCATGCGAAAAGAACAAAAATATCTTACATACTATCCCTTTTAAAGAGCGACTGGAGATTTTGGGAACCCAGTCGCCAAATCTGATGGTGACGAACTATCGTCTACCACCTTTCTGTTCTGCCGCCACTTGTAGAGTCATTAGGTTTTTTCCTTTGAAGCAGAAGACGTAAAAAATGTGTACTCAGCTCACTAGGAGCCCCATCTCACCGCGGCTTCGAGTCGCAGCTCACCGAGATTCGAACCCTGGACCTCTCGAATACGCGTCGAGCAAGCTTCCAATTACACCACAAATGCATGCGGAAAGGAGGGAGAAAATACCTTATAACTTTTTTAAACGCTTTAATCACTTATGATAATGTTTCAAAATAACATTTAATTTTTGCAGCAAAAACTGATGAGCTCTCTTTGAGCATTAATTAGGTAATTTAAGGGATCCGAATCAATTGGGGGGATTTCTTCTGGTTGAAAATAAAAATCGTGGTCATTAAGACTGCACAAATTATTCTGTAACAACTTAAACTAAGCATTTTATGTTAATGCATAAAACAGGAATGCCGAACGGTAAATCATTTTCATAGCTTATAATTTCAAAATTATTATGTGAAATCTGAAGGAAAATTTCAGAATACCAGTCAGAGATTTACATTTGATAAAATAGTACAGAAATATTCATCAAAACTTCTGCACTAGAAAGGAGAGGCGTTTTATGTGGCGATATAGTTAAATTTAACAAAAAGGATTGCTGTTCTGGAAGAATCATCATTATTAATCATAAAAACTAGTATCCTGCATACTTTATATTTGAAATTAAACATAGATAAAGACGAATTAGTAAATAATTTCCACGCATTCTTCAGACAATAAGCCGTCATTTTTTATACAGAAATTTCAAAATGAGTAAATTCTTTTTATAAATAAAATCTGCCTCCTCAGTTTCCACTCGACTGTCAGACAGCCGAAAGAACTCAGTGTGCTAAGTACTGTGTGAAGCAGATGGGGGAGGGTTAGCGGCGAAGCTTACTTGACGCTAGGCCAAGTGATAGAAGCAGAAGAGGAACAAAGCCGAAGAAATGATGATAGAGTGCTTTAGGGCTCGAGATGATTGTAGGAAGCAACTTCCTTTCGATTGTCTCGAGAAAAAGGAAGGCTTATAGCTGTAACTGAGGAAGTATTTTGTCTTCGTCTGAGAACATGTGGCTGTTTCCCTGATGCAAGGTGGAAAAGATTTAATGCTTCTCTCTATTTAATTTGTC